TGGTCTAGTATCACTGGTTTGTCCACAAGGACTCTAAGTTTGTAGTTGTTTTAACTATTATTTAACTAACTATATCTTGTTTGTTTGTTTACTTTTCGATTTACTAATGATTTGCAGATGTACGGGAGAGAGTTTTTTTTTTTTAAATAGTATCTTTTTCATTTCTAATTTTCTAATTTTGCTACTTTCTACTCTCATTTTTTTTGTCTTTTTCTCTTTTTTAAGAGTTCTTTTTACTGCTTTTTTGTTAAATATCATACTAGACTCTTTTTCTGTTTTCTGTATTAGGTTCAAAATATCTTTTAGCTTCCTTCTTTTAACTATTGATATTTTTTGAGTTTTGTTATACTTTATTAAACTTTGTCTATTGCTCCTATTTAGATTTATTATTTTTTTATAGTTTTTCACCTTTATATACTCTTTTTCTTTTTTATTTATTTTACTAATATTGAAGCTATCAAAATTTTTGTCTTTTTAAATCATCTATTCTTTTATTCTTTTATTTTTCTTTAAGAACTCTAATTTGTTTTGTTATTAGTTATAAAGTGTTTAACTATTACCTTTGTATAAAACTTAAATACCTTCTAATTTGGTTTTATTTAATAAATTACAAAAAATAAAACATGTTGTAATTTTATATAGTTTTTTATTTATTAGAAAAGTGGTACTAGTAAATTACAGTAATTTGAGTAGCTTATTGCTTTCTTTTTACTATTATTTAATATAAGCCTTTTATACTATATATATTTAGATATAATCTTATTAAATTTTTTTTTGCTAAGTTTATAATCTATTTCAGGTTATAGCTTGGTAATATTTTAATTTAAGCTTTTACTTTAGCATTTGCTATAGATTTTTGGTTAAAATTAATTATATTTAGTATTTTTTTTACTTTATAGTAGTAGTATTGTATTTTGTTTAAAATATTGTAATATTTTTTTAATATATAACTCTTTGCAAGTTATTTTTTTAATTTTGCTTTTTTGTAATATAATTAGCTTTTGATTATTTTTTGCTTTCTTATATCTAAGCTAGTTGAAAATTTTATATATTTTGTTAATTAAATATATTAAAATTCTAAATATTTTTAATATAAGTTATATTTAGATTTTAGCCAATTTGTCTAATTTGTTAAAAATAGTACTCAGCAAAATCAAACTTTTTTTTGACACTTAAATACATGTGATGATCTGACTTTTAAATATATTTAAGTATTAAAAAAGTTTGATTTTGTCAAACATTAGTCAAAACCTAAAAAATTCTATTTTTTTAAATATATATATATATATTTTAATATTAAAATGACCACTTAGACCATTGGCACAAGCTTTATTCAGGTAGTTATAATATTATATTTATTTTACGAGGATACAACAAGTTATACATACATCTTTTGGGTATCTAATTTAAGTAGTCTATTTGGGTTCTATACTAGCTGCCATACCTATAATCTAACTAGAAGATTATCTATTTAAACTCTCTGGTTAGGGTTCCGCAATTTGATTTGATTTGATTTAATTTGATCAAATATTTGAACTCAAATCAAATTCAAATATAGAAATTTCAAATCAAATCAAATTCAAATATTGTTATATTTGATTTGATTTGACAAATATTTGATTTGATTTGAAAATCTATTATTAAAATTCAAATACAAATCAAATTCAAATCCAAGTTTTTAAAATCAAATCAAATTTAAATCAAGACAAATTTAATTTGATCAAATTCAAATTGGCCTAATATTTGATTTGATTTAAGTTTAAGAAACCCTATCTCTGGTTATTTCTAATGAGAGTATAACTAGCTATACATGCAACTTTTAGTTGCCTATTTAAGTAGTCTGCCCTAGGTTTAACACTAGCTACCATATCTATAACCCAACTAGGGAGTTACCCATTTAAATCCTTTGGCTTCACTTTTGTAACATGCCCTATTCTAATACTCATATAAGATTAGCAATTGTCATGGATAATCTTAAGACTTTAGCCAAACCATATTGGGGCATTTATCCTTATGGTAAACCTAACAGAATAGTACATGTTCCACCCATGTATTCACCTGTATGTTTTGGTAACTTTCACCTAACTAGTACTTGTTGTGCTGCAATTATTAGGTTCATATCTCAAGCTATCTTTTCAGATACTACCATAATCTGATCCATATCTCAAGCCACAACCTTTCTAATTAGGATTCTGTTACATACTCCTTGCCTTTGTGAGATTCACAATAACCCTGGTACTCACATTTCAGTTTTCTTTTTCTTCAAATTCTTTACCAGTCCATCCTTTACTTTTAGCTGGCAACCTGGAAGAGTTGGTCTGCCTAGGCTTAGGTGCCTTATAGTCACCCTTCCCTTGGTATATACTTCTGGAGCACAAGTTCTTTTTCTCCAGTTGGTGGTTCAGCTGGTATATCCCCCACTTAAGGATCTGGTTGTTCAGTTCTCCGGTCTTAGTTCTTAGTTCCAAATTTGGCCTTCTTGTAGCACTGTCAAAAATCACTGTTACTCTACACTCAGGACTTGCCAAACAGGTTTTCAGTAATTCTGGTTTCCTGAATTTATTGCGCCGAAGCTCCTATTTGAGATGGTATGACCAAGATTATAGATATCTGGATCCAACTGATAATCTTAACATTAACTGATATAGATCTAGTTTTTTCAAAATTGTCATTCGTGGGATTTGAACTCTAGATTTGCCATCTGGGGGTGCAACAACTCCACCACTTTACTAAGTTGCCACACTCTTATTTTTTTAAATATTTTAGAATTTAGTAATCAGAATTAAATAAACTTTTTAAAATATTATATTTTAGGATCTAGTAATTAAAATTAAACAAACTTTTTTTAAAAAGATATATTTTACTAAGAGCTTTTATTTAAAAAAAGTTTATTCAAATTAGACTATTAATTGCTAGAATATTTATAAAAAATTGTTTTTTTGTTTTTTAAATTTAGAAGGATTTTATTAAAAAGTTCAAATATAATTTATATTATAAATATCTGAAGTTTTAATACTGTATATTGTTTCTGTTAAGTTTATTTTAAGCTATATTACAATTTTTTAATTTTTTGTTTGCTTTTTTTATTTAAATTCTTGAAATAAGATATTACTTTTTTACTTGTCTTTTTTAAACAGCTTCTTGAACTTGAAAAATTTTTTTATTATTAAGTATATGATTTGAGTAATATAATAATATATATAAAGATTGTTGTTTACTTTATATAGGCTGATAATTAGTTATATTTACTTATATTGATGTTAATTTAAAATAGGTTAAAATTTTATTTTTTTGTTCTTAATAGTAGTTTTTTTATTACTATTTATTTTTTGTATCTAAGTACAAAAAATAGTAAGTATTTATTTTTATACAGTAGTCTTTATTAAATAAAATAGTAAATTATTTTAAAAATAAATTATATCAGATATAGTAAGCAAATAAATCAAGTAAAAATATATATAAACAAAAAATATTATTATTGCCAACTTACTTTATAAGTAAGAACTTGTTTATTTTTATATCTAGATTTAAACAAACCTGCCAAAATTTATATAGACTTTGATTTTAAAAGCATCAACTCATCGTAGAAGCAAAATTTTAAAAATCTGACCGATAACTTTGTAGAACTTATTATTTAGAATAAAGCTACCCTCAGATTTTTAAAATTTTGTTTCTACGACAAATTGATGTGTTTTAAAATTAATTACTATATAAATTTATATATATAATTGTATATATATATAATTTTTAAATCGCAATTTGTTACACAGAAGATTTCAAAAAGATATTTTTGTCAGTGTGCAGAGTTCATAACTCTACAAAATTGCCAAATGTTTTTTTTATAAAACCTCTTGTGCGAAAAGTTATAACAAAGAAAATTGAAACATTTCGTGTAACTGTTGAGTATAGGCTTCTTGCCCCATAAAATGATCGTAATTAGTTATATAAATAAGTTATATAAATAAGTTAGAATTCACTTTACCAATTTCACCAATTCTTGTATCTTTAGTAATAATAAATGATTGTAAATTATGAATATTTTATTGTATAAATTAGTTATTCCGAACAAGAAATAATAGTAATTGTAATAACGGGATTTTTATAAATAAAACTCAAATTGTGATATAATATCAGATATGGTGTTCCAATACTGAAATTTACACACGTAAAAACGTTAAATATAATCCCAAATACATAATTACAAACAACACTTCCTGTGTAAATTTTAAGAGTTTACGAAATATTATCGATACTTTATCAAATAAACATCAGAATATTTATGACGAAAATCGATCACATTAAGGATAAATTTAAGCCAAATGCAAGAGGTTGAATCTAAAAAAAAAGATTGAGACGAATTGATCGTTATCAAATTATCTGCACGAGCATGCGTTGAATTAAAAAAAGATTGCATCAATACTTACATACTAATGTTAGAATCTTGATAATTATCTTGATATTTCAAACATACTAATACATACATAAGTACGTACTATAATTTTTTAACAAAACGCGTTGTACAGAAATTGAATTTTGGGGATAACCGAAGTTAATCGTAACCGTTACATCATTTTTAAACCCCATCGCAGATCCGTTCAAACGTGGTATGTAAAAGATTTTCGGATATGTACACAATAATATATCAATACATCGTTGTTTTTCCCCAAAAAAATTTCCCCAAAATTTGGAACAGTTTTTGTTCTAAAAAAAAACTTACATATATATATGTATGTTCATTATTTATATAAAAAAAAATTTTTTTTTGTTTTTGAGTACAGATTGAATTCAATTGATTTAGGACAAAATATTTGCATGTTATTTCCATTTTTTTTAACCGAAAAATAATTTTATAAATTGTCAAGTACAAATTTATCTAATTTTAAAAACCCAAAACATTCATTCCTTTATACCATCGTGAGTCCTTTTTTTTAACGATAATGGCACCTCCTGAAACAGATAATTCAGTTATTAATCCTCTTTCTGAAGAACTAAATCTTAATGGGGAGCCTATGATCGTTACTAATGAAAAAGAACATTATCGTGATGATACTCAAAAGATTGTCTTAAAAAAACCAGATACACCTAAAGCTGTCGTTTTACATGCAGTCTTTGGAGGCTTGAGTAAGTTATATTTATAATCGTATAATCGTATAATCACGTGTATATATTTAATATAAATTTAATTGTTTAATTTCCATTATTAGGATCCTATTTAATTGCACATGGAATTCGTGGTGGAGTAAACTTTTTGTTGAATTTATTAACACTATATCGCAAAAGGTTTGCTAAAGTATTATGATCTACATGATTTTTGGTCATTTATTGACCGAATTATAAAGTGATCGACTGTGTTTACCTGATATGGGATTACTAATATAATATAGGAAAGGAACTATTGTACGAGCTTTCACTCGTGGATTCTTTGGTCCTGATGCAATTCGATTCGGTGTAGCATTTGGTGGATTCTCTTTCTTATGGAAACTTATCAATAATGGCTTGCGACATATTAGAAAAAAAGATGATAAATGGAACGCCTTTGTCGCTGGTATTTTCTTATTTCTTTTTATGATACAGTATATTATATTATATTATATTATATTATAATTATATTATAAAAAAACATTTTACAAATATTTTGTGTATTTTCGAAAGGGTCCATTGCTGGAATATCAGTAATAGCAGAAAAGCGAGAGAGAAGAATATCAATCGCACAACAAATGTTTGTACGGTATGTACAGTACGCTTTATATATTATATTTATTATTTTTAAAATTTATTCTATTTTATACAGTATTAAAAATCTTTTTTCTTTTCTAATTCAACCCTTTATTTTTTCTTAGTGCAATCCAAGCTCTTTATAAGAGTGGTCATACGCGAGAATATTTTAATATCCCTCATATAGGTGTTATTCTCTTTGCATTATCTTGTGGTCAAGTTCTTTATGCATACACGGTAATATTAGAGATCAAAATAAGTTTTGAAAATCAAATTTTTAGTGACACTAATTTTTAATGGTTTTGTTAGATGCAACCTACAACCATCCCCCCAGATTTTTTAAAATTCATGATTAAAACCGCACGTGTTCCAAAAGATACTTTGGACTTGAATTTAAAACATGTTCGTGGAGAGAGCATAAATTTAGATGATGCGTTGTACATCGTAACAAAGGGCAAGGGAACAAAAAATGCGTTTGAGGTTGCATCAAATTTGCCACCTAATCCAATAGCAATTCCCTGGTGAGTTTTTAATTTACAAACCTTCCTTTTTTTTTAATGATAATGATGAAAATAATTAATATTTTTATCCTAATGTTTTTTTTACAGCGAACTAGTGCACCCTCGATTTGATTCATGTGTTTATACTAGTATTGAAAGATTTCTCCAAGTGTTTAAAACAATTTGTCCTGTTTATGCTACACTCAACATCGTACCAATGTTTGTTTTTAAAATATATCAATTCCTAAAAGAGTTAGTAAATTAATTTCATTTCATTAATAATTTTCATATATATATATTTACATTTCGATATTCATCTCATCTTTCCTTTTTTAACTCAAAAATAGTCCATACACTTTAATTAGAAAGTGTGTGCAAAATACGGTTCGGTCGAGTACCTTTCTCGCAGTATTTGTATCCACTTATCAAAGTCAAATCTGTATTCATCGCAATATTATCAAAAATATTGGTTTAAATTTTCATACCAAATATTTATATTGGCTTTCCGGTGTGATTTCCGGACTTGCGATCTTAATTGAGCATAAAAATAGAAGAAGTGATTTGACATTATATGTTGTACCTAAGGCAGTAGAAAGTTTGTACAAGATCATGTGCCAAAAGAATTGTATTTTTGAGTTACATAGAACTGCTGAAATTTGGTTTTTCTCAGCGGCCATGGGTGTTATAATGGTAAATTTAAATTTTTTTCTTTTTTTTCTCGAATGTTTTTCAAAAAATAAAAATTTAAATTAAAAATGTATTCTTTTAGGCATGCTTTCAACATGAACCGAAAGTTTTAAGTCCAATGACAAAAACTCTTTTGCGTGGATTTTTTGGAAACAATTAAAATTATGAGAAAACAAAAAAAAATTTATTAATACGTTAAGTAATCTATGAGTAAGATATTCAAAATATATATATCATTTATATGCGTCTTAAAATAAGTACACCTTATGTGAAATTGTACAGTATTATGAATATTTTTGGATGGAAATAGTCTCGTGATATTCTTTCATATATAATTCGTATATGCTTCTAAAGAAAGTTTAATAAAAATAAATTTTTTCAATAGCTAAAAGCTGCTTTTTAAATTTTTAATTTACAATGGGCTCCATTCTAATTTAGTATCAATGTTTGAAAAAATGTGAATCATTGACGATTGAATGTTTAATTTTCTATGCTTTATTCACCTAAAATGATTGCTATCGCGTGAAACTAATTTTGATGATAACCATAATTTGGATCATCCTCTCCTCGATTGGTGGGTTGATCGATCGTATATGTTTGATGTTAATCGTCATGTGTAAATCTAATTATACAGTATTATTTATCCACGCGACTTAAAACGTTCCGAGTCCATCATTATATTTAATTTTTAAATAATTTTTGATAAACCAAAAATTTATTAAAAAGTCCCGTTAACGCATAATATGTTTTAAGCGAATCTTTCGTCATGACGCTGCGGTCAAATATACATTCTTTTAACTATAAAAAGACGATTTTCGCAAAACCAATGTCCCTTATTCTTTTATGGATTATTATATTATCGGAATTTTTATGTGAAGCTTTAGGACAAATTGACATAATGTCTAACAGTTCTTACGATTCCAATACAACAACAAACTGTTATTCTCCTTTTATATGGTATTCAGGAAGTATCGAAGATGACATGATATGTAATGGAAGTTGTTGTTTAAGTTGTCCTTATTTAGACAATTTTTATCCTGAAAATAAAATAAGAAAGGCATTTGAAATATTTGCAATATTTGGAATTATCTCTTTCTTTTTAATGTTCCTTTTATCTGTGATCTTTTTACTTTTACCAAGTCAAAGAAGAAATCCTACGGCAAAGCAACTCTTGTTACCTTTGGCATTGAGTGTCTGTTATTTCGAAGGTTCAGAGTTCTTTACGATACAGCAACAAAATAGTCAGGTTAGTTTATATTCCTGTTTCCTGTGGCACGTGAATATTGCTTCGTATTGATTTCACGTACGTATATTTTAGTGCATCAACGATATAAGGAGAGCAAATTTAGACAATCCTATGTGTGCAGCTCAAGGTAATTTTTATTAATTTAAAAATCTTTTTTTTTTTTTTTTTCAATTGAATTCGTTATTCATCTTTTTATTTTTTTTATTATTTTTCAGCAATTTTTACTCTTGGTGGAGCGTATGCAATAGCAATTTGTTCCTCACTTTTGATGATACATCTTCATTTAGTGAGTAATTAGAATTTAATTAACATTGAAATTTTTTTTTTTAAAATGTCTAATCAGTTTTACATCTCTTTAAAAGATATCAATGTGGAAATCCGACTTTATAACTAGACATATAAGAGTTTTTCACGCGTTAACTATTGTCATCACATTAACTGCCGCCATACTACCGATGATATTAAATAAAGTTGAAGCAACCAATATTTGTTTTATTTCTATAGAATATTCCCCAATATATTTTCTTCCTTTGTCTTTTATTTATCTTGCACTTTTTTTGCATGTGATAACATTTATTTATATGGCTAAAGTAAGATTAATTTCGTCAGATCACGTGAGTTCGTCAGGCTAATGATATATATGTACTCACGAATTCAAAAATATATATACATGTAGGTTACTTTCAAAGCAAACTGGAGGAGAGAAGTTGATAATAGAACAACAGTAAGAATGTCGTTTTTTGAAGCGCAACAAACTTTAACACATGTAAGAAATATAATTCGAATTCAATGGCGTGCATCATTAGGCGCGTTTTTAATGTTAACTGTTTACTTGATAAACTGGGTAACTTGTCTTTTTTTTTTATATTTTATATTTTATTTTTTTCGTTTGTATTTATGAACAAGTAAAAACTAATATATGGATATATTAACATAGATCTTTTACACATATAAAATACCTCATATCAAAAACGAGATGGGATCTGATTGGGCTCAACAATGGATTCAATGTCTCGTAAATGGATCTCAGTCAACTTGCGCAACTTATGCTGATAATCATGTTCCAAGTTATAATTGGATAATATCAATATTATTCTTTAATCGATTTTGTGGTATTTCAATATTTTTTCTTTTTGCTGGAAAAAAGATGATATTCATAGAATTATGGAGTTGTATAACAAGAAAACCAAGACCGGCATCAATGCATTCTAATTCATCATCAGTTAATGAAGGGAGGCGCTCAAATACGAAGAGTTCAATTAAGAGGACATTATCTATTATTTCAATATCATCTAGTAAAGGACGGGAAAATACACCTGTATCGACATCATTAAATTCAAGTTTAAGTGCACCTTATCCAACTTCTATCTTAATGGGTTCAAATGAAGATTATCCATTTAAAGTTGAAAAATCTTCAAAACGTCTTACTTTCTCTTCATACACAACTGATAATAATTATGTAATCGAACCTGTTAAAACTAGGAATTCATTAACATATGTTACAACAAAATATGTTAATCAAAATGAAACGTTCGATAATGAAGAAGATTCATTAGCGGAAATAATCGAAAAGTATAAAACTTCTGATAATAATGATAATAATGAAATTATTGACATTAATGAAAATAATGAAATTAAGAAAAATAATGAAATTAAAAAAAATAATGAAAACAATGAAAATAATGAAACTAATGAAAATAATGAAAATAATGAAACAATCTTAACAATTTCTCCTCCACAAGATAATGATACAATATCAAATAATGACAATAGCAATAATATTTCAACAATACAATTATAGACAATATTATAATACTAGGAAACAAGTGCGTACGTACGTACGTACTGATATCCAGAGCTAAAAATAAAAGTAAATATATTGGTTAATATTGATCTCATTTAAAAATAGGTGCGAATAGGTGCGAATAGATGCGAATAGGTGCGAAATAGTGCGAATAGATGCGAATAGGTGCGAAATAGTGCGAAATAGGTGCGAATAGTGCGAAATAGGTGCGAAATAGGTGTGAAATAGGTGTGAAATAGGTGCGAATAGGTGCGAACATAAATACGCACACAAAATCTGATCTATTACTCCCCCATAATATTCTCCGTTACACTCTGGATAATTAGAAACGAATTCATAAACAATAATGATTATTTATTTATTTTAGTAATTTATTTTATTATCTTTCATGTATAAATATTACCTATATGGTGTTATATATGTAATATTTTTTTATGTGATTATTTTTCGAGATTTTTTTTAAAAACTTTATTATAAATAATTTATAAATATTTAAATATATAATTATAATATATATATATATATATATAATTATAAATTTTTATTTAAACAATTTAAAATTTTTTCTTCCATTTTTCTAATACTTTCAATATCACTAATCATTGAAGTCATAAAATAAATGACATTTCCTAAAGGTCTTGCTAATATTGAAATATCGTCAGAATCGCTTGAAAGTTGATTTATAATCGTTGATGAAGCATCCGATGAATAACCTATGTTAAAAAAAATACATTTATTAATCAAATTATCATAAATAAAATAAAATAAAATAAAATAAAATACTGTAAATTTTAATTGGATGAAATCATACCTCTTTTATGAACGTCCTTTAGCTCAATCGCCAATAATGTTCCTAATGCAAATACCCCTTCAACATTTTCCATGCACGATATTTTTCCCACAACCTTGAGTTAATGTACAGACAGTAGAAATTAATATTAATAGCCACGGGTGACGAGAACTTTCCAATATAGGCAAGAATAATTTACAAACCTCTTTACTCCACATGCTCCAAATTTGATTTTCCTCATTAGTATTCCAATTTTCCCTTCCAATTTTC